AGGAATGGAGCCCCTGCACCCCAGTCCTGCCACCACACCAAGCTGGAGTTTGCCCATGGAGCCCCGTGCCAGAGGGCATTTCTCTGTCACTGCCTGGCTGCACAGCCCTGCCCCGTGCAAGTCTCTGCCTCTGACCCACAGGAGGGAGGGGAATCAAGCCCCCCACCCCAATCTTGGTCCTCCCCAAGCTGGGATCTGTCCAGCTTGGGGGAGCCACATGCTGCAGGGTGGTTTTCCCCCATCCCTGCCTGGCTGGGCCAGCTTTATAGAAGAAAGGATCAGGCCCCCATACCAGGAAGCCTGGCAGGAAGCAAGGAGGCTTGTGTAGGTGACGGGGCCTGATCCTTTCTTCTGTGGAGCTGGCCCAGCTGGGCAAGGACAGGGAAAATCCCCCCCGCCCCCCTCAGTGAGGGTCTGCCCAGATCAGGACGGCCTGAGACAGGGGCTGGGGAAACCCCCTTGTAGCACTGGGCTCCCTCCAGCTGAGCAGACCCCAGCTTGGGGGGACTGAGTCTGGAGCAGGGAGGCTTTGTTCCCCCTTCCCCCTGCAGGCCAGAGGCAGAGGCTCACAGGGAGCAGGGTTGTGCAGCCACCCCTGCTCATGTGGTGTGGGGAGACACTCCCATAGTGTGTCCACTCCCCACCAGCCAGGCAGACCCCAGCTCGGGGAGCCTAGGGCCAGGGTGAGGGACTCTGTTCCTCCACCTCCTCTCCTCTGCGCCACTGGGCTAACAAGCACAGGCAGGATTCAGGACTGGGGAGAAGAGGCTTTTCTGCCTTAGCTCTGTGACAGCCTGGGGGCAGGGCCAGCCAAGTTTGGGTGGAGCAGAGGAGTACTGGCAGAGGCTAGCCTGCCTGTCCTGTGAGATTGAGGTTGGTGGGGAGGCCACAAGGCATCCTAGGATGCTGGGAGACTATGACCTAAATTGAGTTGGGAGTGGATCTTGAACAGAAGGTCTACAGACTTGTCTAACATAAACTGAATAAATCTGATACCGCATCCATCCAGGTCTATATTAAACTCAGTTCCACCATTTTGAAACTGGTCTATGTGCACTGAACTGCTGTTCTGTTACTGGTTTAGATTAGTTTCCAATCACTTATACTGGTTTATGTGTCATTTCTGTCCCTAGCCCAGATATCCCCATTAGCCCAGAGTATTTCCCAGGAGAGGCGATCTTCCCAGTTTGTGATCTCTTACATCTCTGCAGATTTTAAACTAAACCAATTACTTCATTTCTTATAGCTGAGGTTAAAAAATAACTTCTTACACTTTCTGTCCCTTTGTCATTCGCATTCTTTTAGCTAAGCCCCCAGCTGTCAAACTTTGTAGTAATTGCTTGGCTTAAGTGGCCTCAGTATGTGCTAACTCCTGACACCAGCAAATTTCCTTATTGTTGCAATATTTCATAGCTTTAATTTTGTTACATAAATTTCATGTGAACTGGTAATACCAAGAGGTAATAATGATTTAACAGAATAATTGGGAAAGATCAAGGTTCAAGTAACTCCCTATGTGTTTCACCATTCAGGACCCAACATACAAGCATGCGCACACCCCCGGTGCCTACAATTTCAGGGCTTGGATCATGTGGCATATATCTGTTTGGCACATTTGGACAATCCTTCCTACTCAATCTTTTAGATGGACCATATTTAAGATTCAGATGTTCATGATTTATATGGAGATAGTAACATAGTCCCTACATACAAGTACAGTGTGTTTAACATAAATCCTACAACCATATTATAGGCATCTAATTTTCTATTATAAATATCCAGAGTCCTTGGAGTGGAACTGAGGCTCCTTAGTCCTAAAAATAATTCTATTTCTAAACTTATCAGAAGTGGCATTTCAGTCCTACTACTCTAAACTTTTTCCTGAGAATTTCACATTCCTTTAAAGTTTTAATTAGTTTGTCAGCACTTGCAAAGGACTTGAAGAAACTTAAAGGTCAATGGCTGTTATAATTAGAAACTGAAAAGAGGAAAACAGATTGCTCCCTTATTACTTTATAAGAATTGAGCAGCTCCAGATACCTCACTGGCTGTAAACATCAAAAATCCTTTAATGGACATCTGTGCCAAGATGGACTGTCATTCACTGCATTCTCCACTTGCACTTGGAAAGGATCTGCATCTGTTTTGTCTATGCCAGCCTGAGAGCGGGTAAACACTGAAGTACTCAGACAATCACTGGCTCCAGTTTCCTGATATGTAACTAATAAATGATGTGTGCAGCCCGTAAACAGCCTATAAACTGCTCCTTTCTTTTTGCAAAACACATCTGCTAAGAATTTGACTCTTAAATTTCTTGGCAAAATCTATTCCTGCTAGAAAAGAATTTTTTTTTTAAATCCCTTCTCATCAAGCTTGATCTTTTGAACTTATTTGTGCCTCTTCCCTACATAGCTGGAAGGGTACATCTTGCATCTGCTGTTTCTGTTCTGCCTTTTCAACATCCCAAATGCATGTATATGGCAATTGTAGAATGACTATAGGAGACATTAAAGTTAATGAGCAAATTGCCATCAATTTTGTATCTGGGCTGTACAATTATGCCACTTCCTCAGCTGCTAAGATAAAATGCTAATCCCAAGAATACTTGTTCTAATGCTTACAAAATAGGTCCTAAATTGCAAGGTACCTGCTAGTATTTGAAGGGTATGCCAACTGGCCCTTAAATTGGGCTTTAAAAAGCACATTCCTTGCAAAGAAATAGAATTTCATACAGTGTTTGTGACCAAAGTCCAAAACGTTGGCTGGGTTGGGTGACATTTGCCCTGATGATGAATGATTTTATAGACTGGGAGCACTTGCAGCATGACCAGCTGTTATCCAGTGTGCATTTGCAAACATTACATACCTTTAACGTTTATGTGAGAACATGTTTTGCAAAGCCAGATATAAAATGGTAGCTCTGAGTAAATTGTTTCGGACTTCATGCATCCTGTATTCAAAGTCGTATGGGAAATTCATTCACTTTCCTGATACAATATTGAATATCTGTAAAATGAAACTTTTCTTCACTTATTTAATATTCAACAAGTCTCTCTGCCATTGCCCAAATGCTAAGTTATGGGGCCTGAAGTCACTCCATCCTCATCCCCATTGAGAACTCATAGATTTAATAGAACCATTTTACAATAGTGATATGAAAGCCCAGAGATAAAACACTCTGAAGTTAAACTAAATGTCATATTTGAAAAAGGATCAAAGGGCAGCTTTACATGTGCTCCGGGATGGGGGATGGGCACTTTAATTACAGTACTCACAGCATGTCGTGTATTCAGCGTCTTGTGCTTCTAAATGGCAGAAGGGGCACTTTAACTAAAGCTCATTCAACCCCCACTCAATACTGAGTACTTCATAATTTCTGTACCACTCAAATTAGCTCAAGATTAGTGTCAGCCTGGGTTTCAGGGTGCCCTACTTTCTTCGGAGTTCACTCAGGCTATGCTTGACTTCTGGTCTCTTTTTTTTATGGTCCACACAAAGGGAAGATGTTTTCTTTTAACTAATTGCATATCAGTTAACATGAAAGGTAGTTCATCTTTAGGCATTCAGTCTGTAGATATGTATGTCTGAAAGATTATCTAAGAATATATCACGCTCTCATACCAAGTATAGTTAAATCAGCGTAAGTGTGGCTTACTTGAAAGCAGACTGTGAACAGCTGCGTTCCCATTTTTGTACCCATGTGAATATTTCTAATGTCCTCTAAAAATACAGCCAGTTTTGTATTCTGAGCACT